TCTCGATCGTCATTCAACCGACAATCCGCGACCGCGTCTGAGTCGATCAATATTGTGTTTAAAGAAAAACAGAGAGAAAAAGCCAGAAAGCGATCCTGGCAGTCGACTCCAATCGGATCCAATTGCACGGACGGAGCAACTAGTGTCGGCCGACCGGGTGCAGCTTCCTCCAGAGTTGATCGTATCGTTGATAATGATCTGGCGATCGGATGTTGCACTAGATTCACGACCCGACAAGCTGTTAACAAAGTGACTCGGTACGAGAGCCACCGTTCAGTCACAATAGTCTGCAAGAGAAATGCGATCAGGCTCGGAATCGTCAGCACTCGACGCTTGCAGAATCAAATCAGAACCGCAAGTTGGCTTCGATTTTGACTGACAGAGTGTGAATATTTGCACAATACGACCTGGTCGTACAGACTCGTATCCGTGACCCTCTGGGAGGTCTGTGGCTTTAGAGCGCGTGCGGCGCTGACGACAAATTCCGAGACACGTTAGGACCACGATCTCAGTGGCCACAGCACTCTGATCACCGCCGGAATCCAGAATTCCGGAGAACGTCGAAAGCAGCCCCGCACCTCGGGAAATCATTCCGAAATCAGAAACATAGGACTTTCGGTCGAGGCGAGATCACATAGGTCAAACAGAGCCGGTGGAACAAAAAACACTCGGGAGACATTCCGAAATATGAATTCAATTCCTAAAGATAAATCCATCGGGGTCGACGGTTGCGAAATACTCGTTTGTTCAAAGCGAGAGTTGTTATGATTTCCCTCGGCCAAATAAAATTGGTTACTGCTGCACCATCACGAGCTGCACAGCATCATTGGAGCTCGGTTGTTAAGTGCAGAGCTCGCGGGTGAAGTTTCTCTCACAGGCTCTCGACGAACAACGAATACATTTCGACAATTCAATCGGGTGATATATTAGCCTCGAGTGGAAGCCTCGACAAAGGCTGCCTTCTCGTCCTCCAATATTGAGACATATAATCGTGCAATAATTTGTCGAGGACCCCCATTGTTGGAGCAATCGAGTGGGGAGACATTTTTAAGGTGCGGAGGATGGATGGACGAATACCTTCCACTTTTGCATGCAGGGTGAAGCCTGGCTGCCTGCCTGCCTGGACCGACCAGTCGCTCGGTCGGTCTGCGAGCGATATACAGACGGACCGATTGAGAGAAGAGGCGAGAGAAAACCAAGCATCGTGACATATTGTCGTATTGTTGCACATTTGGTCGGAGGAGACCCCGCATACACGGTGACTGATAGGAGCACTGAATGACAGAAGATTGCTCTCGGTGTTGTTATCGTAGTCGACGCCGAAACGCTACTCGAATAACGACCTGTTCCATGCTGAAGTCGAGTAGCCTTCCGCACTCGACTCCGAGACTTCCGCAGATCGAGTGGAGCGTCGGAGAGCTCTTCGAGCAGCCTCTCCGTACTTCGGAACTCCGAGTAAAAGGATTCCCGCTCGATGCATGAAAACACGGCAAACCACATGGAGAGCTCCCGTGGAAAGCCGCTTTTCGGTGGCGCGCGACGTCGCGTGTCCGTATGATGAGTTACGTGAAGGCCCATTAGTCGTACACGCCCGACCAGCTCGGTGGTTGACGGTCGCGTCGGCGTCGGTGGGTTATGAGCCCGCTGCTGCGACAGCGTCTGAATCCGAGGAGTAGCGCGGGCCATAGGTTGCGACGTCAAAGGTGGATTATGTGCGTCGAACTGGAACCAACGGGGAGGCTGGCTGGTTGGTTCTCCGCTGTACGAATTGCTCGGCCGGCTTGAATAGATGTCGGATTGTTCGGGGGGACGGGGAGATTGCTCTTCTCTACTCCTTCGGCAACCAGATGACCCATTCTCTCCAAAAACCCCCGCTCGCCTCTCCCACTCTAGTCAGTGCAGCAGTCATTTCGTCCGTCCATCCGTCCTTCCATCGGTTCGCCCGTCTGCCTGTCCGTCTGTCCGCTCGCCGATTCCGTGCTACTCGGTACTCCTCTTTGTCTTCGTGCGGTGGTCACACTCGATGCACAGGGCTCTCGTGTGCAGCACGTTGTACTCTTTGATTCGAGCGGAGCGTTAGAACTTGATTAACAAAATCACAGAGTCAACACCACCCGAAAGCTCGGCCAGCCTGGCCTAGGTCCTGCGATTCGGCAGAGGGAAAATCCCCGGCGTGCGGGCGGAAGAAGCGCACCGGGAGCCCCTGAATCCGATCGAGCGTTGCGACGCGGATATTTTTTCAATTTTTTTCTTTAAGTGATGGAGTCGGATCCTGCAGGAATAGGGCCTGTGGAAAGGATTCGGTGCAAGAAGGCTCTTGCCGAAACTCCGCGCATAGGGCCATTTCCCACGTCTGCTCTTCCGAGGCTGTCGAGCCGGAGAAACACGAGACTGTCGACCGAAGGTGCTGAGCGCCGAGCGCGATTCGGTCGCCGCTTTCAGCTGTTTTGCGAAGATTGTTTCTCGCAGTCAATCGGACAGTCAGTCAATCGATCGCTCGTTCGAAATCTCTCGGGTGTCTTCTGTTGTCTCCGTGAGGTCGAACCACTCGCTGCTCATCTGGCATCTGCTGGATTCAAGTGTGCTCAATGCGTGCAGCTCTCGCTGTCCGAAGATCCACTTCTCGGTTCAGGTTATCTGGTCCAGCTAGGCTGACTGAAGACCGTACGGAGCAAGCGGGGATATTGATGAACCGTTATTACAGGCTCGACTGTTCATTCGGCGGCTAGCGGGCGCTGAGATAGATTCCAGTGGGCTACCAAACCGGCAGACTAGCAAGTCAACCAGTGAGTCGAGTGGCTTCACCCCACAGACCACCTGACGCGTTGGAGGCACGCGCCGAGCCGTTTCGCCCGACCGCCCTGGCAACAGCCTTACTGCCTGACTGACTGTCGCTCGCCTGGCTGGCTGACTGTTTCCCTTCCACCGCAGAGAGCACGACCGACTTCGACGGAAATTTCCTTCTTTCAATGATCTCAACAACATCCTTCGGTGTCAGCTTCTATGCTCGGAGCTCGGGGCGAAGTCGACTCGATCGGGGAGGGTTGCTGCCTTTCCGGGTCCGAGAAAGTTTCGACAAGACCGCCAAGTCACTGCGACAGATCTCCGCTGATATGCTTCCATCGATTCGTGGTCGAATATCACTCGGAGTTATCATTCCAGACTCTTCGACTCGTCAGATTCAACCGGATTTCCCCATTCATGCGGCAGCAGAACGTCGGGCCATCGAGAGTCCATCTTGTCTTGGGCGATGGGGTTCCCATCTTCGGCGGACATATCACGAGTACACGAATCGGGGGATGGGAGCTATTGCTGTTCCCGCTGTCAAGCGTAGCAGGATAGACTCCCGGGCGAAAGCCTTTCGGGCAAAAACATCAAATCGTCGAGTCCTTTTTATATTATGTTACATTGTTGCCGACTTTCCCTGTATCAGTGTATGACCACATCTGTTGTCAACACTATTTCAGACTTGGTATCGGAGACTTCGGGAACTACAGCGCATCCCATGGTCACGGGTTAAGAGCCCAGAGCTCGCGCTTTCCCAAGATCGAGACCGTCCGAGACCAGTCGGCTACCTCCTATTTGTTTTTCGTGATTTGGACGGACGAGCTTTTATGCTTTGTGGAAGAATGGAATAACTCGGCACAGATTTCCGAAATACGCTCCGACACCCGAGATCATACGAGCTCTATCAAGCTGCCACGTTATCCCAGAGAATTCATTTGCCGAACTCACAGGTGGCAACATACGGCCAGATTCTCGATGGTCTCAGCCTTGAAATTCGCCACATTTCACCCTACAAAATGTACAAATGAGCACGAGAGTTCAGAGTCGAACTGAGACCGTCCGGTGGCGTTCCAATTCGGCATTTAGACGCGACTCCTCAGAACGATGACAGCGAATCGAGTTTTCCGTCGCAGCTGATAGATCCGAGCGTATGCTTTCTCGGAAATCTGATCGCTCCCGTAAGATGCATGAATATCAATCGATCATGAGTCATGAGGCGCAGTGCTTTCGACGGAAGGCTTTTCTCAAGAGGTCCACGCCTGAAAACTTACGTTTGACGTGAGCCTCAATAATATCGGTAGAGTACCGAGAACGAAGCGCCTGATTTCTGGATCGATGCAGAATTACGCGATAAATTCCCTTCCCGGGGACTCGCACACGGACTTCGAGATACCCTGATCCGAGGGGTATGCATCAAAGCTCGGCGCGGTATATTAAGCAGAAGCCCTGAGTTTGCGGTCACTTTTCATTTGCTTGAAGGAGTATTCCGTTCTCGCATTGTCCAAACTCATGAGAATGCCGTGCTCGTTTACGATGGAGCTCCTTGTCAGAAACCTTCCGCAGAAGTCCAGACCGCCGGTGAAATGAACGCGGAGACCTGCACAAACTTTTGACTGTCGATTAGATCAATGAAGAAATCCATGAGTTGTTCCGGGGACGCTATATCTCTCCAGATAGAACAAAGCAGTGGGAGCCAAGCAAAGGGCCCAGCTATCTCGGCATTCCAACCCCCGGCTGTGTGAGTCTAGCTTTGTGAGTTTCTCTGTGCGTGCGCGTGAGTGTGTGTGATCCGCGGCCAGCGTTCCGTTCCCTCCTCTTCGGGTAATAGCATTATGATAACGCGAGAAGGCGGCGCTTGAGAGAGGAGATTCGGCCCTTTCTCGGAGGAGTGGTTCCTTCTTCCTTCCTTCTCTGCTTGCTTCACGGGGTTGACAGGCACGGTGTACAGCACTGGTTCTGCCAGACACAAAGAAGTCGAGGACAGCGTCGAGCAAAGCTCCGTTACTCTCTAAACAGTGACAACTGCTAATACCACGAATCAAGTCAAACGGTATTCACTGATTGCTGTTGGCGGTTGCTACCGGTTATCCCGAACGGCGAACTCTCTTCTGGTTGTTTCTTGAGTGCGAGGACTAAGTGGGGTCGGACACGCGGCTCGGACATCTCCTGTCCTGTGTGGTTGGTCGCGAATTCAAATCTTCGATCCGGTGATGATGCCTCGAGCGCTCCTCGTTGCCCGGGATCCCCTCCTCGGCCGGGAGGAAGATGAGGAGGAAGTTGACGTTGTTTCTGAAGGGGACAGCGAGAAACCTCTCGACTTCTCCGCAACGGCGAGCCCACACTGCACGCCGGTGATAAACCCATCGCATGCCTTGCTATACGGTGAGTAAAATTCCCTTTTCCCATCCCGACCGAAGACGACAGTACTCAGCGAGATTTGTGTCCTCTGAGCTCCCAATCGAAATTTGAGAGGAGCAGCTGAGTAAGAAGATTCTTCCATTTCAAACGAGAGTCACGACATCCGGGGGCGTTGGGGAGAGGACGCTTAAAAACTTCTCTTCATCAATCATAAGTAGGAGCCGGCGCGAGCGATGGGCAATGACTCGATGCTAGATTACGGAGACGTATCATGCCTGCGAGGCGCTCCCTCTTTTCGATGACTGCTCCAAAGCAGCTACTCGCTGCGAAAGCAGGCGGGCAACTGGACTCGATGTTCTCTGCTCAGATACTCTGCGCAAGAGTCGGCCATGAAATACTAGAGCTTCCTACTCTCGTTCTGGAGGAACAAAAGTTTGTGAGCGTCGATGTGGTCATTAGCCCAGGACTCTTCATACGTGCAAACATCGTTTCGAGAGCGGCTAATCAATCAGGGCAAAGTCGTAATCGTCTAGAGACTCGTGGGTTCTGCTCACGGGGCAGTCCCTTAAGGGAAAAAATCTAAAAGACAACACGATCGGGATCGATTATGCTCCGGGATGCCCCCTCTCGTCGATATGGGGCTATCCGAAGACGCTGGGGGACTCTATCGCTTTGATGACTCTATTCGCTTCTTGATCGCCCTCCGTGTAGAAACACATCATCAGCCTCGGAATCACCACGGCACCTGATAAGCTCGCAAATTCTACGGGGCAGCTGCCACTTCGCGAAAAAAATACATCTCGAGTCTGGGAGCACTTGCGCGTGGTGGCCGGATAATGAGATTTGAGGAAATATATGACAGCCCAGAACTTTTGCTAAGCTCCATGGAATTCGAACAGATCCCGTCTTCTACCTTCGGATGCTTCGAGAGTTCCAACTGCAGTTCCCTCAACCGATGGCGATATCGTATCATACGGAGACTTCGGACGGCTCGGAAAGATCCTCGAGCCCTCCATCCCCCCAGCACAGCCCGCCTCCTCTGATTAGGTTGCCGCTAGTCTGTCCTCCTCAGCGTCCTGCAAACGCCACCAACTCCTCAAACTTCAGCATCCGCGCACTCCTGGGCTTGAACACGGAAGCGTTCACCTGCCATGTTTGCCGGAGACAGTTCAGGTGAGATTTTTTCTTTTTCTCCGCCAATAGCTTGATGGAAGCCCCCGATTCAAGGACCGAGTACAGGCCACGGTATGCCACAGATCTGCGCTTCCTATGAAAATATTGGCCCCAACGGACGCAAGTCCTGAGCGGGATCCGTATCAATGGGTCAGCTCTCGGCTCCAAGCTGAATAATTAAGAAACATGTGCGCGTTGAAGCGTACCTGCACTCAACTGAGTCGGTCTGCTCACACGGATTTCTGGCAATACGAGTCCGGAAACCGGCCGACCAACTGACCGTGTGCGAGGGATCTAGAAGAGGGATTCGCCAGCCTATGAAGGAAATGTCGAAAACTCTTGTGAAAATTTCCAAGAGAGTGCAACTGCTCATCGCGGGGAAAACGGAAATTACCGCTCGAATTTTGCTCGATCTCCAAACTCATGAGGGATTCCAAGCGATCCTCCACAATGCGGCGGCATTGGCTCCGAAGCCCACTCTTGTCGGGAAGACGATGATTTTCGTCATTAGCATACAATTCAGTGTCTGATGAGGACATGGTGAGCATGCGATCCAGCCATCCGGCAAGAGGTTTGTAAGCAAACCCGAATCTCAGCGGGACTTTTTGAAGAGGAGCCATGCGAGCGGCTTCGCAGCTTCAAAGCAACCTGGTCCCAAACGAGCTTGTTTTGATACAGAAACATCAAATCTGTCACCGCTATTGAGATGCAGATCGAGAAGATGAGCTAGCTGGTATCCCGTAGCGGCCACATGGCACCCACACTCGCTCGTCTTCGAGTACTTTGTCACTCCGACCGGAGAGCCGTCGGTCGAACGATCTGCTATTGCCACAAGCCCGCGATAGAGTTGTTCGAGCAGAGATCTCCCGTCCTACTCAAACTCCCTCCGAGCTGCGAGCCGGAACAAAAATCTTGCTCCATGCATTCGTGAATTTAGCATTGCGAAACACGATCGGCATACCGAACGATTGCGAGTTCCACACCATGTACGGCGATATGTTTTCGGATAAAAAAAAAGGAATTCGACGAAGCCGGTCTTCGCTCGAGGTTCACGCATTCCATCTGCATTACCTTCGAGATTTCGTCCAAGGCTGCTGCTGCTGCCGCGGAGGAGGCGGAGGGCGAGTAGGCAAAGGGAGAAGCTCGGTAGATCCCTCGTTCGGGTCCAGGCACCCGCAGCAGAGCTCAGGTACGAACTCAAGGTATCGCAGGAGAAGGCGTTGAGCAACGCGGAACGAATCGGCACCCGGCGTGATTCGACACAGCGAGGATTTGTGAGCTGACAGACCTAACGTTGCAAGCTCAGCACGTGGCCGGAGCGAATCGCAGAAGAGCTCGACAATGGTAATCGATCACATTTCAGTAGGCGCGAGTCTAGGGTGCAAATCTGCGTAAAACGACTTGATTATGCGATGAGCACATAGAGACAACAAATCGAGAGACGAATGTTCGCTCGCAAGCGAACGGACAGGGAGGCACGATCCATGAGTCCGACGCTCGTCTGCTCTGGCATACTCACTCATTCAGACATTCGCTCCTCCGACGAGCTTGTAGCTTGCATCAATTTCCGTTCACTTCGGGGATCCCCCGTCTCCGCAGAGTGGGTTTTTGAGCTTCCAACATTTGGGTGGGGAAGAGGACGGAAGGAGTCCCTAGGATAATCGTGATTCTTCTTTTCCATCGCAGCACATCTGGCGGGCTCCAATCACATTTGCGAAGGGGCTGCGGACTGGATCCCTTGGCGCCGCCATCGCTGCCGACGCCGTCGAAAATGTTCGAGTGCAAACAATGCGGCAAATGTTTCAAGAGATCGTCGACGCTATCTACCCATCTGCTCATTCACTCCGATACCAGACCGTATCCTTGCGAATACTGCGGCAAGAGATTCCATCAGAAGTCAGATATGAAGAAACACACATATACCCACACAGGTGAGCGTCAAACTGTGACCGAGAGAGACTTCCGGTATACCGGGAGGAGAAATATTTGCCTGGCACAATGAAGGAAGCCGCTGAGGTTCAATATCGATTCCAGGTGAAAAACCTCACCAGTGCACAATTTGTGGGAAGTGCTTCAGCCAGTCGTCGAATCTCATCACTCATATGCGAAAACACACGGGTTTCAAACCTTTCACTTGTCGAATCTGCAACAAGGCGTTCCAGCGGAAAATCGACTTGAAGCGACACTGCGATACGAAACACGATCCGGCGTCCGAACAATTCGATGGATCCTCGCAACAAGTTGCGCCGCAAACTCAAGCCAACTTCGTTGAGCTACACCGAGAAGCTTCGCTTTTCAGACCCATTTGAAGGCGTGGAGTGTCACCCTTGTTGATCGTTAACTTTTTGCTGAACACAATTGTGGGCTCGGGAATCACATTAGTTTAGGAGCGTCCTTAGATGTTTTATAATAATCTTAATGATGACCGAGCGAGAGTGCATGAGTGAGGAGAACACATCTCCATGAGAGAAAAAAATATCGGCGGCTTGACACGAGGACCCGACCCCGTCCACATGGATTGTGTACTTTGAATGCTGTTTGGGGTCGAGCGCTGCTGGAGAGCGCCTCAATCAAGTCAATTGAATCACGACGAGGTCGAGTATGAATGGAAGACAGTTATGCATTGGGAACCGCAGTTGACCGCTACACGGCGCAATTTTTCCAGGAGATCATGCGCGTATAGATAATATGTAAATTGTAATACCTAACCCATCGCCCCGGCTCCCGTGTCGCGGGGATGGACCACTCGTGTACGTGGAGAGGGTATGGAGTCGCAAAGCTGACGGAAATCATCAAGTGACCAACTTCTAACGTGAGCCAGAGTCGTTCCCTCCTGCCCGTCGCCACGAAGTGGAACTCCACGTATACGAATTCTCCATCTTTAGATCCGCGGCGCAGAGTGATAAATCGCTTATATGTATATCTAGTGTAATAATTTCGGAATTGAGATCTAGACCAATAAAAGAGCGGGAAATTTGTTATGCGTCGCTTGTATGTACATTCGGGACAGACCGTGAGGACGCGCAGGAGGTCGCGTAGGAGTTGTCCGGCGAGAGAGCGTGAAAATAGAAGTTCATCCAGCGGAAAAGACAGAGTCGGTGCTACCAGTGCAAAAGAAGAGAGAGACATTCCTTCCAAACCCCCTTGTTCAGCATGGCATCACTTGACGACAGATGCATTTATTGAGAATGTATTATGATTGAGCTATGTATTAGTATTTATCAATCCCTCTTCACTCACCTCGATAGATAGATGGAGAGATAGATTGAGTGGTCGATCGATCGATACAGCCTGACTATCTCGAAATGGTATCCATGTACAGAACGCTGAAGCGCTTGAGATCTCAACGAAGACAAATGACAACGAAAAGGACGGATAGAATGGAGGTGATTGGATATTACGCCACATTCGAATGTGTAATTCGAGCTTGAAATCTGTATCGCCGCTTCTACATCTAAGTTCACTTCGTACGCTCTTCTCGACTGAGCGGTCGACCGTGAGTAGCTATCTAGTCTGGAGACATATCAACATGAATTTGCTGTAATATAAACCGATCCTAATAAAAACAGAGGTGTGCAAAGGTCGTACAACCTTCTGTTTCTATGATACGAAACTCGAAGCCGGACTGCATCGATTTTGATCTGAAATAGTGCCCCCGAAAGAAGGGCGAGCTTAGTTTTATACCTGGGGAAAATCCGAGCGTTTCAGAATGGCTTGGATGCCTGTTTCCAAAACGCAGTAGTACTCAGGAGGGGACCGATGTCGGTCAGAACATATTTCCCTTGGATTTTTCCCGGGTAGGTTTGCCGCAGGGAATCGTGAGAGTGAACGACAGTCACCACATATATCTAGCTCGCGAGACAGTGCACACCTGCTTACCATGAGCGCTCCCCGATTGATCCCACCAGGTTTTATTTGCCACTTGCACGAACTTGGCCTCGATTTTTTCCTTCTGGTGGAATCTCGCTCTCTCATGCCAGAGATGACAATCTGTCGATCGGGAAGATTCGTTTTATGGTCAGATGTGTCGAGAAACTCTTGCATGGCTCTTTCAAAACTGGCGTCGTCTTCTCGCGCGGCGCGAACGACAATCAGTGCAGGAGAGATTCAGGGTTCAATGGACAAATCTCACAAACCGCACTGTTCCACAATATTGTTATCGCTTCTGGGGGCCAAGGATTCAACGCTATCGAGACGGCGCACTCCAAACTCACTCACGCTCGTAGAGTCATACAAACAAATCTAGTCGACCCTCTCCAACTGTTGCCGCTCCACAGGACGAAAGCATCGTCGCTCCTAGTTAGAATCTTGTGTATTCATTTTTCATCGCGTGCGGCTATGAAGTTCATTTTCAGCCCACCGGATAGGGCTGAATTCAAGGATCTGAGACGAGGCGAAGCTTGCCGGGAACAGCTGCGAAACTTGAGCGCCCTCAGCGAATTTATGTCAGGGCTCAGTCCCTGCGTCACGGACGGGCCCTTCTGCGCCCCGCAATTTCGCGGATCGTAAAGAGTATCGAGTACATAATTATTTCATTGAGTCCAGGAAGCGATTCAAACCACAGAGATCTCTTTCGGGGGAACAACTGATACAAGGTTGTCAAAACTGATACAACGACAGAAATAAACGTCACTCCGTCTCATCGAGTGTGTCAACAGTTGGAGCTTCTAGAAGAGCTGACTGCAAGATTCTGGAGCAGGTTTACGTCATCCTCGAGATTCTTTACCCTTTCTCCGTTTCCTCCTGTCAGCATCCGTGCCGATTCTCTGATGATAATTGTACCCATGGTATCACGACGGCGCCTGATCTTAGCGGATTCCTTTCCCATGCTTATCATAAACCTTCTACAAGCTCCAAAACTATGTATTACACTTCAAATGGTCAAGGTTGGGAGCGGAAGTTATTGTTTGGTCCCAGGTTTTACGATTCGGGGCATTCTCTATGTCGGATGTTGCGCTAAAATTAGCTGAGATTGAGAACACACCGTCTTTTGATCTATTGCGACAGAGCACCGACGTTCCATCAGGTAGAATTTGAGGCTCTCCCCAACATCTAGCGGAGTCTTATATGTAATGTAATAATTGCTGAGCGACCGTTCATTGTCATTAGATCGTTCCGGATCTCGTGCGTAGTGTACTGCGCTTCCGTCATAGGTCGAACTATGCAGCGGGAACTCTTTTTCCCCCAGCAGCCTGGCCCAGAATTCTTCTCCTCCTGAGCGATTGCGAACTCGGACTGAGGCGCAGAACCCAGATCTCTCCAAATAAACCAAAGGTGTATCCGAAAACAGGGAACTTCGCAATATGGATGTTTGCTGCGCGCTCTGTTTATGATAGTATCAACTATCGGTCGAGATAATCGTCTGATGTCTATCTCGTCTTACTCATCTCCAGGAAATCACGATCCGCTCAACGAGTGTCTTTCTAGACTCTGGACGTTCCTGTGGGGGTCAGGGTTCGGCGCCGGCGTTTTCAATCAAGTCGGTCGCGGTTGTCGTCTCTCGACGACTGGCTGACAATCCGTTTTTCGAGCGATCCTTGGAAGATGAGTTATGATTGTGCTACAACTGCAACCGCCGGCTCATTACCGCCGTATTCCGAAGTAAGACTCCCGGGACTTCAGGCGTATCACTCGTTAGCGCCATCGCAGCTATCGGCGTGCAAAACCGGGCAGAATCGGTAGGTTCACGCTGGTTGGAACTGCTCTGGTTCGGAAGCGCCTCTTCTGAGAAGCCCATAGCGCAACATTAGCGAGCGATTCGAATCTTCAGTTTGGTATTGCATGTCTTAGCCCGAGGTATCTGGCGCGTCCGAGAATTTCTCCGGACACACTGTCAAATGATGCGACTCCTCTTCAGAATTTCCATCGACGGAAGGTCATGAACGCTGGCGCAGGAAAAACATTTATTGATGCTGTAGCAACCTTTCCACTGATACAGAGCTATTCGCTCCGATGGTCATATTCTGCGATTACATCGGATGCTCATAAAACTCACGTAGCGCTTTGTCCCATACTCAATACTGACGATACTCGATCGCGACAAGCGCACCATGGCGCGTCAGGAAAAAACAGTTCTTCCATTCTTTGACTGTTTTCATCCTAGGCGGGATTTGTTGCTGAGATACCCTCGTCGTCAACACCTCAAATTCAGCTTCGTTCAAGGACTGGAGATGAAGATCCGCGAGTCAGCTTGCTCCCAGAACGAAATCCGATTTTTCTGTTCCGACTAAAACCTAGGCCCATTTTGAACGCGTGCAAGTCGTAGCTCTCGGAAGCGTTTTTCGATTGATTTCTTCCTCTATCAAGGCCTGAACCACGACTTCACCACGGGAGAGTTTGCCGCGGGCGGGAACGGGCAGAATCGGAATAGAATCTACAGGATAGAGTCTATTCATCGTATTCGCTTATGTTAAGGCAGAGAACACAGAGCGCTCTGATGCAGTATTTCGGACCGCTTCGAGAATCAATGAAAGCCATGATGCGACTTCGCAGGGAAGAATTATGATCGCGGAGATTCCTATGAGAGACGTCCTCAATTTCTCAAGAAACTTGCGTAGATTGGAGCTTGGCTCACGCACTGATGATCGTACTCTCGAAAAATCAAATGCTCGAGTGGTCAGATTTCCTCCGCCTCGACCACTCGGTCTGCGGACTCGTTCGTCGATAGCACAAGTGTAGACAGTATCACGTATCAAACAACGTTGTGAATCGCTATGTGGCCGTGCCACGGGATCCTCATCAAATGATTGTGCAATTAAATGCGGAACTTGCGATCACTCCGTCCCGATTGAGCTCTCCCCTGGAGAGCTTGTCCTTTTCAATGAGACATCGACTTGACTTCAAGTTGCACATTTCGCGCACAACTCACTTTCGATTGCCCGCTGAGCCGCGATTGTTCCGGCAGCACAGGTCAAGTGCGAGGCGTTCCTTCCAGATAAGGGATGAGATTCAATGAAGATTATCCAGAAGTCTCGCTCTACGAGACGAGAAGCAGGTGTTTCTCCCAGGAACTCATGCTCTCCTGAGTGGGATTCCTCGAAGGGGGCGTTCGTTTAGTTGAAGCTCTCCAGCTCCGAAGACCCCGAGCCCTCCTAGAAGAGCATCCAGCGGCCGAGAGGAACTCGTCGATATACTCGAGGCGAGATATCCCCTGGATATCCCGAGACCGTTTCCCACATGGACGGTGCATGGAACAAGCGGGGAATATCCTCACTCTCCAGAACTTATACTTTCTGTGATCGATTCGATATTCGGGACCCGATGCGATAGCTCCGATTCCTCAAACACTGGTAGCGTCCCGGCATGACTCGCAGTATCCATAATATGAAGCAGCGATGTATAGTATTCACAATGTTCAGTCATCGACCGACGGGCATTTCGTGAATAAGTGGGTCCCCTCTGTTCCAGGAATCGCGTTTTTCCCTACGGCTTGAGACAGGAATTTAATTAGAGAGACTCGAGATCTAGATCGAGGTAGGCCTATCGCTAAGATATTCTGGTGAGTAGTGTTCGGGATGTAGCGACTAAGAATTGCAGAATCCACATTCTTGGTTTGCGAACTCGCATATCCGCATCCTCGATGAATGGCAGATTAGATATCCCTTCCAGAAACAATCGTCAGTTTTAGCCGACGTACGTAGTATCTCTGCCCGACGTCTTACTTTCGTTTTCACCAGACGCACGTCTGCCGCGATCGAGCTGATGGATTTCTTTCCTGAATCGACCGAGGTTCCCCCGGAGTAGTCTTTCGAAGGGGAAAGTGATGACCGGTGCCACGAATGTCTGTCAACGAGGCGATAAGCTTCAATTAGCAAAAGGATTCCCCCATCGTACGATTACATCGCAAATCTTCCCGCATGCAGGCCCAGACGGACCTCTGGAATTCTCCATTCGGACCCTACGCGACGCCACCATACCATTGTTGGTCCCAGCCCCTACGGTACCTGGAACAAGATGCTCCGCTTGCCGAAAGACAGGGTCACTTTGAACTTTTTTCGACCATTAGGTCCCTGACCGAGTTCATATTCGAGTTTCGGACGCAGCCACGCCGTAGTTCCTTCGAGCGCAAATGATTTCCCAGCTTCATATTTCTGCACTCTCCATGCGTTTATGACAGTACCTTGAACAATCGATCAGAGGAAACACTCAGATGTCAGATGTCGTATACATGTATATGTAGACGCCGATAATTGTCGCGCGGTCGGCGGAATACCAAGCACGACTTATTTTGTGCTCTAACTCACCAATAATGGGGAAAATCGAGTCGGAGTGATAAAACTTCCCCTCGGAAATTTGTTCATGTCCAATGCTGTTGAGAACATCCACCAGAGGCAAGAGCTGATTTGGGTGGTTTACCCCATGAATTTCGATCATAGTCTTGAAGTATCCTAGAGTCAAGCGAATAAACACTGAAAGACCTCACTTTTGCGATCCACCTGTCAGACGTTGCCAGGGCGATGACTTTATCCGGGTTCTTCTTTATGTCCAAGGATTCCTTGAAAGAGATATCGTATCTCTATATCGTACCTCAATTGTTTCCCTAGCGTAACGTCGCTCCGAGAGTCACCATCATGCACGACGCTCATTGAGCTCACCTGAATACGCCATTCAGTTCGGGATTCGGTCTGATATGCTATGGATAAAACAGCGGTGCCAAAGAACACATAAATATGATTCCGGGGCCTAGGCTTGGAGGAGAAAGCTCGATGTCAGCAACCGAGGCTCATAGCAGCAGTCACCCTGAATAATCATTCAAGTGACTCAAGACTTACGCCTGCATTCACCGCTTCCATAGCTCTGAAAACCGAATGCAAATACCGACGGGAAGCCTGAGGTCGTTGATTTCAAACAGGGAACCGCTTTCCTGTAGTCTCTTGAAGGAAGGTATGAGAGGTGTGAATTCTCTCGCGAGAAACTCGTTGCCTTGGACACCGCACGGACTCCTAAGGGACGATTATAATCCTCCCGAGTCGGCTCGTTCTCAGGAATCTGCTCCCGCTTTTGTCACGCAAACACGCTGTGATCGCAAAGATTCAGTCATGGAAGTCAGGTCGCTATGTTTTAGCAATCGATCTCGAATACGGTCCCTCTCGGCGAATTTCCGACGCAGCAAACGTCCCTTACAACGGAAGTCTACGAATAGCGAAGGCGACCTTGTTGGTTTTGAATTACGGTGTCAGGCGTTCGATGCACGCAGCGCCAATCGCGTCAGGAACTTTTCGGCGGAAAATCAGCGGAGAGGGAGGTCATGGGGCTGAGCAGACGGCTGCGGGGGTGCAGGGGTCGGAGGTGCCCCCGTTCCTTCAGCCTTGGGCTGCACATCGGGCTCTCGACCGGAATTGCAGAGAACCCGGCTAGCCACGTATCAAAGCTCCGTAGACCTTCGTTATCATTCGTCACCTCTGCTACAGGCCATAGCAAGCATACTTGACAGAGAATGCGTGCGGAAAACATTCTGCGCGAACGGGGGACTTATTCACGGGAAGCAGGAAATCTTAGGGTAGAAAATTATCTCGACAAAAAAGAGCTTGCCTCCCAGGAGCCTCCTCTAGGTACAGAGTGGATGGCCGACGAGCGTCGCAACGATTTTCGCAAATCGCTTAGACTTAGAAAACAGACACCTTGAACCCGGAGGCCATAAGACATCCGCCAGGCGATAGCGAGATTCAAGAATTCGTGAAATGGGGAATCTGCTCGAATTGACGACGGTGGTCTAGGGTAGAAAAGCGTAGAGATGACCACGTTGGAGAGCGAGACACATTCGCAGGGGAGCAGCTTCTGATCGAGATCCCGGAATCTTGTCGCATCTGGAGGCGAGCGGCAATCATTTTCGGGAAAGCTCAGCACTGGAGCACTTCAAAAGGACGCAGCGATGAGGATGGATTCATCTCACGTGCGGGAGGAGCGGTCGGTTAGAGGTTACCGATGACCGACAGGGGTTGAAGTCGATGAATCGCCTTACACAGAAAACCGTCGAAGAAGGAAGTCCCTCATACGTAGCGTTTTTTCTCATTCATAAGGTGCGACATGATGCCTGCTCCCAGCCGGAGAGGAAAGTTGACTCTAAAGCACTCGACCAGCGCAAGTGTATAGAACACCTGAATGAATGCATGGTGTATCATTCCTGGATCGCTTTCCCCAGCTACCGGTCATTCTCGGGCAGGGTTCAGCACCAGCTGCGCCGTCCGAAGAACGGCACGGCGGTTGCACAAGGCGTCTTCGAAAACTGATTTTTTCTTTCTGCCAGAGACGCAGCGGCAAGCGGAAGCCACGACACGAAATGAGTCAATCGCTCGTCCGCCAGTTACTTCGTCGAGTCGCTGCCAACCGGGGACAACGCGTTTCGCTGTCGCTGTATCCTGTGGTCGAACAGCTTTCGTCCGATACTTTTCAACATGTGGACGAGATCATTCATATTGCTCGCTATGGTGGCGATCGGTGAGTTTATTCGCGTGCGCTCGGATTTCTGTCTGGCGAGATGCCGTGGATATCATCAAGTTCTGGAGTGCCTCGAAATAAGCGAAACCTCATCTGACGCTTTCGTTCAGTTTTGGCACAACAATGCAAGAAAGCCATAAAGAAGAAGAATCCGGATGATTGTGGAGAGTATTATCTCTGCCCTCACGGGCAACCGACAGAGAACCACTGCAGCCTGGGTCTGGCATACAATCAGGAGAAAGGAATGTGCGATTGGCCCGACCTTGTGGAAGATTGCGATGTTGAAAGTAAGTCAATAGTTACGAAACACCCCATCTAGGTATGAAAGGAGAAGCTGTGTACTTCGTATTTGATCTCACGCGGGGACCTCGCGCGCAGAATACTTGGACTTCGAATGCCCGGATCCGTCCACCTACGACTCGCCTGGAACGAACAGAGCTTTCCCTCATCCCTCCGATTGTGCCAAACAAATCGTTTGCGTTCCATCCGCTTTCGAAGACTACAAACAAGTTCCTCGTGTATTGAGCTGCGACAAGCCCGAGGTATTCAACCCAGAGATCGGCAAATGTGATTACTACAAGGATGTCAAGGGATGGTGAGTAAGCTCAAAATGAATGATTCCTCATCAGACATTTTACGCGGGGAATTTGTTTGAAAAATTGATATTTCTTCAGTGAAAAATACTATGAAAGCGTCAAGAAAGTTGCGCCTGTGAAGGAAGCCTCAGAAATCGAAGCCGGAGCCATTCCTGAGGCTCGCGTCGTCTCCAGAAATCCAACTGCTAGACCTGTTCCCGAAGTGCGCAAAAGAGTGACAACGACGACGAAAAAGCCCGAAGAGCCGGAATACGAGGACGAAGAATAGATTCCTCGCGCAATGACTCCGCGAAAACAACGAAATATCCATGAATAAATCCTCGTTTTTGAAAACCCTCACGCTCTTCGATGTCTCTGATCGAAGGCTGATATGAGAATTGGAGCAGATCGAGAAACCGGGATGAGCTACCTTTGTTCGTGGTTTCAAACATAGAATCGCTTGAAGCGCATTTGAAATATATTCATAGGCAAGGTCTTGGATTCCTTCCGGTATAGATATTATGAACTCCGTCGATACCGGAGTAGCACTTTCGAATCGCTTTGTCGTAATCAACATCTCGATATCGTCGTTTAGATCGCGGTCACGAATCACGAACCGTAGAGATGGATCATTTCATTTCCCTCTCTCAAACCTCTAGCAGACTCGCTGACGATAACAGCTGTCTCGTGGAGAGCTGATGACAATACGTCCATGATCGAGGATTCTCGTTGATGAGAAAGCCGGGTTGCATTCATCTTGTATGAGTTGTCGAATGACTGCGCCACTTCTGAAGTTGCTGGAATCCCAGGCGCAGGTGGGAGCGAGGACTTTTTTCCGATCACATTGCGTGATTAGCCTCATCCTCTGCTGACGCCGTGTCCCCCACCGCCTGCCAAGGTAGTATTCCGCAACGACTTCCACCTCTCCCTGTAACTGACCCGAGTCGTCTGTCTTCGATGTCAATTCTTCCGAACCGGGATGCGCCTGACACGACGGGACTCGAGCCTCCAATTCACGCCAGAACCTTTACTCTCGAACGCCTTGAGGCCACATCGTCACATGCCGTCGTATCATGCAAAATCCAACCGATTCCGAGGTTATTGTCGTGGAACTTGCCCGTATATTCGCAGAGCAAAGTCCACCTCAAAGCGGCGGATCGAGATACCGAGTTCATCACAGAAGGACGCCCCAGTTCCCAAATCGTTCGGTCGCTCGTCTCTGGCCTCCCGAAGATTAGTCCCGGAACTTACGCGGAGTAGAGAGGTGCTGTCTCACTCAATAGGATGTCGACGTTCCTCGATAAAGTTCAAATCTCATGGAGGGAACAGAAAAGGTAAACATGGCTCCTCATGGATAAACGGGAATCTACTCCACCATCGCCTTTCTGTGGCCTCAGCAGCTCATTGATGGATGTGCAGCTTGATACCACATCTATATTCACTCAAAGTCCTATTGCGAGTGTGTTTTCGGGGATGCTCCGAGCCCAAGACACGAGCGATCCGGATTTCCCGCGCGCCCTCCCCGAAATCCAGATCATTCTTGTCTGCAGAGTTCAACAAACAGAACAATGGCTTGTACGCACGGTCAGAAACTTTCTCGAATTCCTATTCGATGTCATCTTGTTCCCAATAATGAAGAGAGTGCACTGGATCCCATCCTCACGGAAGCATCTAGCCGAAGCCGAAGATCGCCTGATGTCGTGTGAGTCAGCTCCCGCGAGATTCGTCGACGTCCTCGAAAACCACCGCTGTTCCCTGGTTCCGTCAATCTATAGTATGAAGAACTTATCCCTCAGATATCGATAAGCCTTACGCCTCGTGGTACGTGGACATTGGGCGGATGGGGAACAGTTCCGATACTTGTCGGATATACACTATGAGAATGTTGAGTGACGACAAGACTGCGAAACGTTTGCCCCTCGTTCTCTTGCACGGACTGGGTTGCGGAGCACCGATGTGGATCCTGAACTTACCGGAATTATCCAAAACGCGGGACGTATATGCCATAGATCTTCTTGGTTTTGGTCGGAGTAGTCGACCGGATCTCAGCGCCGACGCTTGGCTCGCGGAAATGCAGATGGTATTCTGTAAGCTCACTTGAACACTTATCCATACAGAACGTAGCCCCATATTGAGGATCGCAGCGGTATCACTTATAATGATCGAGCAATTTATTCGGCTCTGAGACTGTCAGTTGAGAATTCTTTCAGCAATCGAGGAATGGCGGCGGCACATCGGCCTGGAACGGTTTGTCTTGACGGGGCACTCTCTCGGGGGATTCTTGGCCTCTTCGTATGCCATCAAGCACCCGACACGTGTCGCTCACTTGATCCTTGAAGATCCATGGGGGCTTCCAGAGTTCAATCCGGATCGGCCCCTGGGCAAGCGGATGCCGTCTTGGGGCAAAATCGTTCAGTCCACCCTGAACCACATGAATGTTCTCGCCAGCGTTAGAATGCTCGGACCTCTTGGTAAGAATTTCCGGTGGAGCTCGAACGCGTGTCGACTGCTCGATTATCACTTGTTTGGTCGCGCTTGGCTCGTGGATTTCTTGGGTTTCATTTCTTTCGCTTGACTAAATCGATCCCGCTCCTTTCGTACAGGCCCGAAAGTCATGGAAATATCTCTGGCGTCAGGTGCTGAGCAGTATTTCAAGGACGTGGTCAGTGATCGGACCGTTGTTCCGAATTACATCTACCACTGCAATGCCCGAAAACCATCGTGAGTCGTTCGGAGAATACACTTGGGACCTATCAATCATCTCCCTGTAGACTGCGCGCTATTCTTGTGATCTCGTGCGAATCCCTCAATCACAACGCTGGAGAACATTTCCAGGGGCGAGGCTCTCTTCAAGAATCTCAGCGTACACTTCGGCTGGACTAAATATCCGATGGTTTACCGACTGTCCAATCTCGACCCTCAAGTAGGTTGAGGGACCTATTCTCGAGAAAGGAGAAATCGCGGCCCTTCCCGAGGCGTATTACCGGTAGCGAGACCTAAAACTCAGTTCTCTTGGATGTTCCCCTAGGTTCCGATTTCTTTCATATACGGCTCTCTGACTTTTATCACCAAGAAGCCCGCATTCAAGATAAGGGATGAGCGGAAGGGATCCTATGTGGATATACAGGTCTGTTCTGTGCTCCGATGCTATTCCTTCGAGTCCGAGAACAGTATAGAATCTATGTCTGGACCTCACATCAGGAGACGTCGGACCTTACTGTTCGCTGAAAATTTTTCAGATTATTAAGGAAAGTGGCCACAATATACATATGGAGAAGCCTGCAGAATTCAATGCCAAAGTCAACGCGATTTGCGATCAGGCGGATCGCGAGGAGGCGAATTTCTCAGGAGAGCGTCACCATGCTGAGGTTGAAGTCGACTATCGATTATAAGAGTTCTCATATTATGAATCAATTTCGCTTACCCATTCCTGTTCATCTTCGTTTATATCGCCATCGCTATTGATTCGTGATTCAATGCGTGGATAAGTCTATTTATGGTCAGAAGGTTTACAATACATACCGCTTAAAAAATACGCTCTTGATGCTTACTTTAAATATTTCGAATTCAATCGACATACTCGTCGGAGGATTCTCCTCATGGTGAGAAGAATCCTCGTTTCGCTCCATTGCCGAAGTATTTCTCTCATTTATTTATATGTATATAATCTATACTCCCCTCTGAAGTCTAGCGTCAAACATGGTCGACCGTACGATATAACGTCTGATGCGGTCCGCTCGACTTTCGGTGTTGAACGAGGTCGGAAAAGAGATCTTCTAACTCTTCTGCGAGGTGAAATAGACCGCGACCGCTTACGTCATACATCCGGCCCAGAGATCATGACTTGTGACTCAATCGAGTCAAAAAACTCCTCCAATAGCTCGCAGGCACCGGGCTTGTCTCGGTCACAGATTTTGTCTCTGAGTGTGACGTCATTACCGTTAGCGTCTGAGTTTTTTGTTCCGGCAGCCGGTTCGAAAACATGGAAAGCTTTCACGGTCTCAGCCCTTATAAAAGCAGGCTCGCCGGGGCAGACACTGCATACGGCGAGCGATCATGGGACCGCTAGCGCGGGGCTTCAAGCCGCGGCTTCTGGTATGACTTTCGATTTCCCAGGTTCTGACTCCAACCCCCCGATGACTTATGCACGGAGTACGCGTGATCCCGGAGGCTCCTCTTCGAGTTCTCCTGGTCTTGTATGTTTGACAATCATTCAGCGTCGTGCCATTCATTGCAGGTCTTATGCGTTGTATCCCTTTGTGTAATACACACAGATGCTGACGAAGTTTCACCGGTCACTTTGGACCCGTTGGAAGCTCTGAAGGTGTCACTGATCACCGTGACGCCGACGAAGATCCCTCAAAACGTTGGAGATCTTCAACTTGCCGAATCTCAGCACGGCTATGGTGGAGGGCATCACGGTCACGGGAAATACGGGGGTCACGGCGAAAGAGAGCACCATTCCCGACACGGTGGTCATCGCCACCATGGCAGGTACGGCGGCCACCACAGGCACCATGGTCGCGATTATCGAGATCACCATGATCGCTACGGAAGGCACGGGAACAGGCACGGTGGCCACAGACACGAGCGTTACCACAATAATCATAGGGGGAACCATCATCACGGCCACCAAGGAGGACGTCATCGCTACGCGCACCATCATGGCGAAAGAGGCAAGGAAGGAGGGCATTCGGGCCACAACCACTACAAGAACAGAGGACACCGGAATCACGGACACAAGAACGTCTACCACAAAGAAGACTCAGCACATCATACCAGCTACTATGATGACCACCACGACGGAGATCATAGGAGGAGATATCATGACCATCATCGCCATCACGATCGTCATGGAGGGGGTCAAAGACATGGCGCGCATCACCGCGAGCATCATGGAAAGTACCGACACGGAGACGATTCCCATCGGCATGGTGGGGGTCATCACAGAAACCATCATGGTGAACACGGAAGAAGTGGACACGAACACCACAAAGAGCATGGCCAGCACAGACATCACGGAGGAAATCACCACAAAGGGGGTGAGCACCACAGTGGGGGTCACCACCATCATCAAGGCCACCACAAACACCATCAGCATGGTCAGCATGGAGGGTATTGATAGAGCTCTCGATCGAGTTCTGGGCTCGGAGTTTCCCGCGGAAGTTCTGCGACCAGAGGTATACGGTCCAAGGGTGATTTTCAAGCTGCTTCTGCTATTCTGTGATTTTTCCTTGAGGTAAAAACTGTATCTCCGGTGTTCCAAAGATCTGTTCAACCGTTCCGACATTCGAACGACGTGAGTGTTGCACAATCCCACAACAGGACTTCCACGGACGCAAAAAAGAAAACAATGCCATTTCGTGTGCGACAGTTTCGTGAGATCAGCGCTCGCTCATGATCATGATTCATGATTAATCCGTGTGCAAGTTCCGTCGCGCTTGTATGAGTGTTTTGCTGTGATATGTTTCCTGATGGACGCTCGTGTCTTAGATTACCTGTATATTTCCCTTCCCATGTACATAGTTTTCCTCTTGTAAGTCTCTCCATCGTGTTCGTGATTTCGTCGTTACCATGTCGCGTTCGTCTAGTCTGCTGCCTCCGGAAATACATCGAAAAGATACTCGATAATGGCTCATTAATATCCATCGTATGGAATCACCAATGCTCGCGCAGTCTTCGAGCTCAATTCCTTCGGGCCTGAACGACCTCCATTCAATTGACGAGACCCTGGAAGCTATTCAGAGAGGGCTTTAGACGCGTCTAGCCGCCTCATACTCCAGAAACCCATGTCGAGCTCCTATTTTCGGAGCATCTGATTGAGGTTGATTTTCGATCCCCGCGGCCGCTCGCATCCCTCGTGCGAGTCTTTTTGGGAGCTCGTTCTCACGAAGTCCCCCGCGCAGCTCTCCATGGAGTGTGGTGAGGACCTTCTATTGGATATTCAACTTCGCGGCACCTATATCTAAATGATATTCACGAATTCGAAATGGAGTGCCCGCTTTCATGAGCTTGTCGATATCATCGAAATGAGGGAAACCTCCGGAAGGATGAAAAAGATCCCCAAAAGATCAGAAAACGCGGCCGACCGGATGGGTTCGCGGAGGAGTATGCGTAGATTAGCAGATGCTTATCTGTGTTTTCTTGAACTACAGGAGAACACTCTTTTGAGATGAACATCTCTTAGTGTGTGTTAGACATCAACGTTTCCTCAAACGAAATCCCCGGACCCGTTTATTGGCTTGAGGACCGCCTCAGGTTCTGTTCTTGGTTGCGATCTCAAGTAGTACGTAGTAGTATGTGTGGTCCTGATCGATGGAAGGGCGCTCCCACTATTGTTCTACTCTCCTCCTTTGCTCGGATTTCTAAGTCGCACGCCTTGAGAGCGGTACCCAAAGGAAGATCGGAGACTCGCCCCGTCTATTCGCTGAAATGCAGGAGGCAGGAGATATTGCGCGCAAGAGCCGGATCGTGATTGAAGAATGCGGTCTGGAGTTTCGAATTTCAGATTAAACTTCATCAGTGAAGAGTCCCGTCTCAAGTGATCGCGACCGCGACTCCGAATCGGAGAGCGGATATGTATGGAGGTCCTCATCGGTCGGAAAACCGGAATCGAATAATCGTAGAGCAGGGAAGCCCGCTCAATCGGCCTTCCGAATATTTGGTCAACCCGCTTTATTGTTTTTTTCCCCTCGTTCTCGATTGTAACGTGTCCATGTTATCTGGACTCGTCTAATCGGCCAAGCCGCTTATTTGGCCTTATGAGCCCATCAGACGGATTACACCGTGTTCATCTTCCCCAGACCGATGACGTCTCTATCCGGCATCAAGTCGCAGATCTCTCAGTTTACTGCTCGAATGGAATCGCGGGAGCTCCGATGGAAAGCAGTCACTTCTGTATTACCGATGTAGCATGAGCTGACAGCTCGCAAGTTGCGCACTCGTCAAAAATCAAGATTCTACATTTCAAGCTATTTGGACGTTGTAGAATGTACCGCTCCCCCTCTGATACGCGGGCACCCCCAGAGAACGCCTCCGGAGCCCTCTCTATACAATCTAGTCGCTCTGTGCAAGCGGAGTTACCTCGAATCCGTACCGGAGCCTCCTCTGCTAGGCAATCCGATGGGGAGCTTCCTTCTGAGGAGTCACGTTTTCGGCGACTCCCAACCGTCGAGATCTTATGGATGCGCAGCCGTTTTATCACATTTATACATAGCTACGACGCAATAGACGAAGAGCTCTGGTTTCTCACAACATGATGGCCCGTCACCCGTGATGGCGATGAGGTGTCGCCAGTGAATCCGGGTCACGGAACATGATCAGCCGCGAGCCAAACCGATATCGACAACGAGCCATCGATCTCGGAGCTGCAGTGGCGGGAAATCGAGCAATCACATGAAACGCAAATCAGCGTTGAATTCCTCGTCACTGCCTCGTGAGCGGGACGTATCGTTCAATCCTCCCGTCAGCCGACCCCATAATCTGACAGTCAGAATGCGAGAGGTCCTCCCCATTTGCGGAAACTCGCCTCAAGGGGCGTGTTACCAACGAATTTCTCGCTCAGCCCCATTCGCGGACGAGGTCGGAGGGCAAGCTCTAGATGAGCTTAGCCGATTTCTGACTTCGTCCTTCATCCATTGTTAAGCCGACGGACACTTTGCTGATTGACGAAAGAAAGTCCCAGCCGTGTAATTAAGCAAGGAACGGAGCCGATCGAGCCTTCAGAATTCCATCCTTCGCACTTCTCCACCAGTCATCAATCGCTCGGATTGGTACTATCTATAAAGACTGCGAACAGCGGGTAGTCGAAACCGAGAGAATAATCTGGTTCCAGATATTCCACCGGAAAGACCGAGCAATCGGGGCCTAATGTCAGATTGGAGTATCCAGTTGAGTTATCACATTTCTGCGTTCGACTGTGACAGACTATTGTTAGACGAGCAATTGCGTAGAGTGAGAAGTTTTACTCGCACATTTTGTCACCGAATCTTTTTGCCGCCTTGTGTATGTGCGAGAGCCGGTGGAAAGTTGACTCAGCCTGTTACCAATTGCGCGCACCGCTAAGGAAAGAAGTTCGAAGAAAAAAAGTCCGAACTTTCCGCTTATAAGTCCCTGAAGCGCTCCCGCTGAAGCACACGAACAACAGCGAGACGTTGGCGATGGGACCACCGCCACCGCTAGTGCGCCATGGGTTCGCGCTGCTCTTGGTACGCATCAACTCCAGAACCGTAAATGGGAGCCGGTGTAGATTTCGAATTTTTCTCCGCTCAAATCTCCGGAAGGAAGAATAAGAAGCTCAATCTTTTCCGAGCTCTATCGTATATCCGCAAGTTGCGACGTGTTGCTAAACGTTCTCTTCTAGTTGTGCGTGCTGACGGCGAACTGTGAAGAGCCGAAAACATCAGAAGGTCTCATTTCCTCATCAACTTTAGCACCCGTGGAGTCCACTCCGCCGGCAGCCGCTCTAGTCTCGGCGCAGACCGAAAAACCACAAAAAGATCTCCTAGTAGCAGAATCGCGATACCATGGCGGTGGGCATCATGGCTCGGGCCGATACGGCGGTCACGGACATCGTGGCCATCGGCGATACCACGGTGGGCATCGACACCACGGCCGTTATGGAGGACATCATCGTCATGGCGGCAGGGACTACAGAGACCATCACGATCGCTACGGTAGACACGGAAATCGTCACGGAGGTCACCGGGAAGAGCGGTACCACAACAATCATCGCGGCAATCATCACCACGGCCATGAGGGAGGACGACATCGATACGCCCACCACCACGGAGCTCGGGGTCGGGAGGGGGGTCATTACGGCAATGACCACTACAAGAACAGAGGTCACAGAAACCATGGTCATAGAAACACCTACCATAGAGAGGATTCGTCGCATCACAGCAAGTACTACGACGATCATCACGATGGCGATCATAGGAGAAGATACAACGACCATCATAGGCATCACGATCGACACGGCGGGGGAGCCCGGCACGGCCAACATCACCGCGAGCACCATGGTAGATATAGACACGGAGACGATTCGCACCGACATGGAGGAGGTCACCACAGGAACCATCACGGAGAACACGGAAGACGAGGACACGAGCACCACAAGGAGCACGGCCAGCATCGACACCACGGTGGAGGACACCACCGCGGAGGACATCACCATAACGGCGGCCACCACCATCATCAAGGCCATCACCAACACCGCCAACATCGACACCATGGTGGATACTGAGCCCCTCTCGTACAAATTAGGCGCGACCCGCGGTCGTCTGAGTTTCTGCGCAGGGATTACATTCCTTGACGTGCGTTCGACCTGAGCGAGGAACGGGGCAAATCCGCAGAATCACGAGATGTGCCAGGAGATCAGACTGATCGGCCTTCTGTGTGTGAACGCGTGAACAGCTACTGGTGGATGAAAGTGTCGCCACGTACGCGAATGCTTCATGGCGTGCCATTCTCTGCTCCCTGTTTGGAAGTGAGTGTCAGTGTTATTCGTAAGTCTATCTACGTCAACTTAGTGTTCGTTCGATCTACGTTTCTTACCGTGTACACCCAATATGATCTCAGTGCCCGCCGTCAATTAGAGCGACAATACCCACAACACGAGCAGATTGTGATTCCATGCAATTCGATCTAAATATCGCCCCCGATTCATCTAGTCTGCTTGCAAACGATATTTCTATACCTACAGCGTTCTCCAATTTGGGGTTTTGTGCGGTAGTGAGTAGTGAGTCATGTACTCGCAGATGTTGAGACAGTCTAATGAGTTTCTCTTCGTCATATGTCTGTCCTGCTGAAAGTTGTGTCCAGTGTTACCCGTATCGAAAGGAAAATAAAGCCTTGTCCAGAGCTTTATTCCAGGAATGTTCTTCGGAAACGATGCAGCCTGGTGGAGCTGTGAGCGACGCCGAGGTGGGCATCACACAGTCTGAGAAACTATGCAAAGAAGTTGCGGAAGAAATTGATCCGTCAGAGGAATAGAATTTGCATTTCGACGCACGATCGTGATCCCGAATCGTTTTCCAGCGAATTACCCGGGCAGCTTGAGCTTCGCGGCTACAAAACCCAGCGTTAGGGGACAAAAAACTTCCACTCAAAGGGGAACAATCGGAAGATCATTGGACCTTGCGGTTGACGTAATCGCAGAAATATCACACCGTTTCTCCGATGAAGTCGGCGGAAGAGGTAACGATGCTCAGTAATGAACAATGAGCTCATTCACTGCATCCGTAACCATGCGATCGAAGCGCAAGAATCGCTTATTTTTATTCTTCTGAATCATTCCCGATCGGTGAGTGCTTGAATGGGGGAGCCCATCAAGCACTGTCTAAATAAGCATTGTCTCGGATCAACACCCTCGGCCAGATGGGAGCTGCGATTGTCGTACTTGATTATTGGTGTCCCCAGAGTCGTCTGCTATTAAGTCCGACCACAAAAATATATCTTATTAGACTGTCCCTACTCTGTAACTTGGGTGTTGCGGTTATATGATTGAATTTCCAAGCTCGCCATGAAGTTCAAATGACTGACTCGCTCTGCGATCCTTGGCGACGCGCAGCACCTAAAAATGGGCCGACGACTTTGTCCTCGATATTTTGTCTCCCATTCGAAATCCTCCCGTTCACATTTCCCGTCCACGAGATTCTCTCCTGCTTAGGCTGGGCAGGCCCCCGGAAGACCGATCAGGTCGATGGGGGTGACTCTTGATTCAGCCTCGTGGTCGGAGGCCTCATCCGGTCAATGATGGGACTGTCGTGTCGGTCCATTCAGCGAACTTTGCTCTCTTTCTTCATTCCATCTGAATACTTCAGCGCTTAGCTGGATTGGGCAGTCTTCAAACAAAATATGCGGAGTCTCAGAAAACCACGATTGAGTATCCCTCTTCAACGTCAGCTAATTGAACACGATGGGTTTAGTTGGCATTTTCATCAGGGAACTCGAGTGGGGAAGCCGTTGTATCTATGACTTCCCCAGGCTTGCGGAGAGGAGAACTAAGGCCTCCCCGACATACCGGCGAGAGAGAACAGGACCGATTCGCCATACGCCTGGATATCAAGTACGTTCAGGTTCCAGGTCAATCCGGTATCCGCCAGCTAAACCCGGAGTCTCAGCTGCGGTCAGGATATTCCATCGACCGTGTGGATTTCGCTACCGTCCGCCGCGGAGGGAAGACTTGATGGTGCTAGAGACTATTCGGATGGAGTGTGTGATGCGCGAAAGAGCAGGAACCACTCCGGAAACCATTGCAACTCGTGGCGGGGAGATGTGCTCACTCAGGCATATCCTGTTCAATATCCGACGACTCCGATGGACTTCGGTTGAGCTCCGTTGAAAGTTGGCAGAGTGCGGTCGGTCTTGCGGACAATCCGCTCCTTGCCGGTCCGAAATCTTTTATCCTAAATCAAGACGGTGTCAGGATTCATCCGAGAGCATAGGAGCCATTCAGCTCTTCATGTGATGGCCTCCCATGGAGATGCGGGGAGCCTTGAATTTTTCGTCAAGAGGCTCTCCGAAACTCTTCAGGTCTACGATCAGGATTCCTCATCGAGATGTCTAATCCGAATGTGACACATCGGTCCTGCGGGGTCTACCATGGATCCCGGGCCACTCATGATAGCGAGGTCTCTGTCCGACTCCGGATGAGCGGTAGGCGCGAACTCTTAACGGTGTTTCGATAAGAGGCGATCCTCTGACAATGAATGATGCTCGTCGAAGATTCCCTTGCCCCAACACGCTACCACGACGCTAGGTAAGGGTTGAAATATTCGGGGCGGCCGATTGTGAACTTGATTGTGGTGCTCTGCTGATTCGCTAGACAAGGTTCACTCGGAACGTTGTCGCCCTGATCACATGGCGTCAGCTCTGCGGTCAGTGCTCGGGTCCGTTCGTCGCTTCGAAGTCGCGAATGGTTCCTCATAGCGGTTCCTCCGCGAGGGAATGCTATCGGATTAGCGCAACGCTCGCACCAAGCTACGGTAAGCTATCCCGAATTGTGATCGAAGAGGGTATACAATTGGACGCCAGCTGTTGCCTTCCACAATCATTCCGCAGCTTGTGCGAACCCGGGGAGAGGCCCCAAGTCTGGAAATTTGGGGAAGCAGAAGGAAGCAGGGGAATGTCTCAATACCACCGATCCGAATCTCATTGGATTGCTGATTATTCTCAGTCCGGCTGGAATTCATCCTCAGTCATGTCCTCCTTCCAGATGTTGTCCGTCAAGTTGATAACTCTGGGCGTTCAACTGAGGACTCAGGACTTCTGTCAACCGGTCATTCTGACGCTCTCCGTCTCCGTCATCGCCATAATCGTCTTCAAAATGCAGCAGCGGTGGCTTTTCGACAGGAGACTCGGTATACCCCACGGATGGTCTCCGAGCAGATGGATGCCACTCGGGTTCGAGTTGACTTGTCTAGCCATGCACAGAGAGAATGAAAATTTGGGAAACGGTGAGTGAGTCCAATACTTCTGCGATTTCAGATGATCTAATCCCAGCCGACCGCGACGCACATGGTGCTCGACGAGATTTCTTCAATCTCATCTGGTGGGACGTCCGCAGCGACTCAGAATGGCTGTGGTACCAGGTCGATCCCAGCGATTGAGGCTCGGCGGGGCGAAACCTTGAACCACGGTGCTTGGGCCCTCCCGTCTTACATCGCCATTCCGAATTCTTCCTTTCATACCGCTCGATAGCAATTGAACTTCGAGGGTGGAATCTGTTGTGGAGCTTGTTCAACAGAAAGTATTTTCCGGTAATTCGTGGCTCATGAATGTTCGTCAACTCCTAATTGAGGTGACCGACGGTCTCGAGTGCTCGGTGTTGAAATACCGATAGGCGAACGGGTTGTGAGCAGATTGATGGGATCAGCTCGAAGCTCGGAACAGCACAGAATAGCCCGCGGGAACGGCGTTCCACCGAAATCCCATCTTCCACCGAGCCCTCGTGTGATGAGCCCGTATCTCATATCTTTTTCCTATCCCCGCAGTGATGATGACCAGCATCCAGGGATTCAGTACCGTTTACGAGAATGTCGGTTTGTATCGCTTCTATCTTCTTTTTCGCCCGATCGTCGTGCTGACAGCCCCGGAGACAGCGGAACAGATACTCAAGGATAGTTCGAATATCGAGAAAGGTTGCTTCTACGACTTGCTTCGGCCTTGGTTGCGCACCGGTCTCCTCACAAGGTGGGTCCAGAAGACCAACGGTGGATTTTGGACATTCCGCAGCTATCGAGCAAGGTATTCCGTCACCCGTCTACCGGGTCAAGACCTCCTGGTGTAGAGTACCGAAGACGACGCCTATTATCGGCGGCTCGAGCCCATTTTTTTGGTCGCTCCTAGGAATTCGGGAGTCTCGCCCCATTCCAGATCGATATTTTCCCCTGGCTTCATGTACCCAATGTATCGATGAAGCCTCGAGAACGCTGTGCTTTGGATTCAGGATTCTGTGAGTCGGCGGATGCGACGCATGTTGAGCTGACATTCTCGCTCCCCTTTCCTCAAATGTCGTAGATTGCTCTAATGCTCTAATCCACCAAATTGATAGAGCGATAGATCTGTTGTTTGGGATTGTTAGAGATTGTGGTGTTGTTCCCGATGTCGTATCGCTAGGCTTTCCGGTGCTAGAATCGAGTTTCCGCGGACGAACCACCGAATCGTGCGGGAATATGATTTCCAGCGAAATTTCTTCCTGAGTCGTCCGGCAATTCGCTCGACGGTGCGAGGAACGCCCTCCAGAACTTTGAAGGCTCTTCCTTCCGCCTCGGTGAAAGGAGCTGTTCGACTGAAAGAGAGGAAGTTCTCGAGCGTTGACCCGTCTCAGCTTCCCACTTCTCGACTGTTGTTCCGCTTACTGTCCGACCTACGACGCAGAAACAGAATGGCGATTTGAGAATTCCCTCCTCCCATGGAGCTTTTTCGGAGAGTCACGTTGCTCTGCTCGGAAGAATGGAATCGCACTGAGCAGGTTCTTCCATAAGGGCCTCGTGCGCGGGCCGCATGTTATCGATGATAATAATCGAAGCTCAATGATTTAGATTCACGTTTGAGCGCGCAGGGAGGTTCCCATTATAGCCCCCGGAGTAGGCGGAGACTTGACCTGTAATCTTTTATTGCGCAAGGCGTGGGAATTCTCAAGATTTAAGTCTATTCGGGGTAAGGAGGAATAGCCAAATGCGAGCGCCATTAGATTACTTCAGGGAGTAACGACGTTCTCATGTTCCGCGCTTCCCTTAATGAGCGTCGGAGTTTTTGCCAACGCACATTCCTTTGTTCGCTCCCCCTCCACGTAGACTCGGATCATCAGCGGGGATCTAAGTAAGCTACTAAGTACCTACATGCATCGAAACCGCCAAAGTTCGGCAGGGTGAACGATGCGATTGTGCTGGCTGAGAAATCATTCGAGCATTCCGCAGATTCCATATTCTTCGGTCTGCCATTGTACTCCGAGCGCAGCCTCGGAACTCCTGTTGTCGAATGCTCCGTCGAATTCTCTCACCTGCTCCTAGTCTTTACGCTCGCTGATCGGTGCATCTCGTTCAACGAGCTCCATACGCCTGTCTGATCAGGGCGGGCCCCATTTGCGGATGTCTAGTGAATTTTGCGCGATCCGTGATGCAACAAAGCATTACGCTGGCGGCTAGTTTGCGCATAAAGATCCCATTCAGAGGCTTCACGATTAGAGGGCTTCACGATCAATTCAACAGAGGTCTTCCCGATTTTTCTCGCTTGTTCCCGATGCTTTGCCTCCGCGAACAAGTCCGTGAGTTTGGCGAATCCTCCTCTAACCCTCGGGCGGAAGTTCCCGACGCCGAGCCTCCTCGGAATCGCCCCTCCTCAATCGTGCATATCGCATGAATGAGTCGTACAAGCATGCCCGATTATTCGATGCAGCTCATCGGAGTCCATAAGCATTCGCTAACCCCTGAATGGGTGCGATCCTTGAGAGGGTAATTGATGCCAATCCGTGGTCCGAACTCCCGATCACGCTCCGATGGAGAAGGACCTGAGAGAGACTCAGAGGCTCCCAGCCGCGCCACCGAAAATCAAAAACCTATATAGTACACTTCTAAATCTTACTTTTCAGCTCAGGACCCAAGTGGCGGTCGCGCCGCAAGTTACTGACGCCGGCTTTTCACTTTCGGATCCTGGAGGACTTCATGGTCATATTCAATGAACAATCGATGTTGATGGCCGACCTTCTGGCGAGAGACTGCGGGGCCAAACCAATCGAGATCAGCAAACGGGTGACGAAGTGCACTCTGGACATCATTTGTGGTGAGCCTGATGCGTTTTCTGAGGAGAAAAAATCGCCAAGACTATACGCTCGCTCGAAACGTCCGTTGAAACTAGAGCGTATATCGATTCGAAAATCCTTGCGACAGATTGTTTCGCTTAGGCAACAATTACTCCAGTTTGTGGGGAGCGAAATACGAACTTTTATCGGAGAAAGCTCACAGGTATTTCCGAATTCTCTGACGTATATCTGAACGTCTCGAAATAACCGTAAGCTGCGCTGTACTCGGTGCCGCGAATTGGGCGACTCCGGAGAGATCTCCCGTAAACACGCGACGAGTAATTTACAGCTCCGTGAATTATCCCTCTTCCGCTCATGAAATATACATAGTTTATGGGGGTCTTGAGGAATTCGAAGAATTTCGGCTTCGAGAATTGCAAATCATGTGCCTATTAGAGGTAGTGAGGCCCGCGAGCTCCCCCGCGGCTCGAATATGGTCCGCTGAAACTATAACTTTCACGTACCTAGCCAGATTTTCAGCAGGTTGCCTTGACTGGTCTCTGCGTCGGTAGCCGTCGAAGAAACTATTCCCGAATCAGATTTGGTTCTTCTAGAGTTCGGAATATGCATGACACCCTCATTTTTGACTGTCATCACTTCCAGAGACTGCAATGGGAGTGGAGATTAAGGCTCAGGAGAACTCGAATTCGTCGTACGTACGAGCCGTCTATTCCTTGGGCGCGTCATTCTCCCAAGTGAGTCCCGAATCCTATCCTGGGCCGGGAGAGATCACAAGGAGCTGATTCTCGATCAGCCAGAGCTCAAAGAGGAGTCGAGGTGGTAGATGAGAATGATTCCCAGAGATCAAGGAGACACGAAATTTCAGCGCTGCATCCGTCCGTGGCAATGGCTGTCTTCAATATATCCCTTGACCCCAGAAGGCCGGAAATATCAGAAGGATCTAGCTACCCTTCACGCCTTCACGGAGGAAGTATGTGGCCGCGCGGAACTCCCTAAAGTGACCACACGGCATTTTTCCAGACGATCAGGTTCCCCACGATAAAATTCATGGAAGACTCACAGATAATGACGATCATAAGGAATATCTCCAAGATCCGATGCGGCGCGATGCTCGTACTGAAATCCTTAGCGCAGGATTCCTTCGAAGGAAAATAAGCAGCAGATGTTGCACGAGTGGAAAGTCCTCCCCGAGGAAAATTCAACAACAGTAGGCCTTCTCTTGTAGGTCATCAACGAGCGGAAAAAACATCGAGGAGAGTTCCTTGTTACTGAAGGACCCCGAACTGCCGATGACTGTGTCATCGGAATCAAACGTCGACGAGCATTCCTCGACCTCTTGCTGGCTCGACATTCAGAAAACGGAGAACTGAGTCTCCTAGACATCCAAGAGGAGGTGGATACCTTCATGTTCGAAGGCCACGATACTACGGCGATGGGTCAGATATCAATCGGCGGCTATAACAACTTCAATCACTGAAGACAAATATTTCCCCCTGGTGAATACAATGGGCTCCTCCTACGGAATTTCCTCCAGGCATATCTTGGTGTTTGTATCTGATCGGCCAGGACCTAGACGTGCAGAGAAAAATCCACGAAGAGCTCGACTCGGTTTTCGGATTTGATCGTCATCGATTCGCGACATCTAATGACTTGAGCCGTCTAAAGTATCTCGAATGCTGTCTGAAAGTGAGTATAGATGGTCAACGATTCAACTCCAAAAGGGTGCGGAAAAGACAGGGTATCGATTCCTGATGGGAAAAATTGCGCTCGAGAGTGTCGGCCTCCGCTTTAATTGATACGACTCAGTCCAAATCATTGACGAGTTGTTTGATCACAGGAAGCACAACGGTTGTTCCCTTCCGTTCCGTTCATTGCGCGGGAACTGCAGCGGGACATCCACATAGGTGAGCATATAGACTCTCTCTACTACCAGGGAGCCGAGTCTGCCAATCCACCTCTGAGAGTGTCGTCTGAACCGCGTCGCCGAGCTGCCACAGCGGATGCCAAGAAAAGGGAGCTCCCTTCCCCTGTTGTCTTCGAGATTACAGATGCCTGTTCCGCGATTACTTCAAAGCTCTCGTCTTCTCCAGGACAGTACACCATACCACGGGGCACAACGTGCTTGGTGAACATTTTCCACATTCATCGCAATAAGAAACATTTCCCCAATCCGGAGATGTTCGATCCCGATCGCTTCCATCCTGAGAATAGCGTCGCTCGCCACCCGTACGCTTTCATCCCTTTCTCGGCCGGATCGAGAAACTGTATCGGTGAGTATCCAAGCGCTATCGAATTTTCCCCAATCGCTTCCCGATTGTTGGGATAGAAGAGCACCGCAACCCGTTTTGCGAGTCGCGGAAAGCCTTCCCACATCTGGTCCCGATCCCGAGCCCTCGTTCCCTGGCTCCGGAAGAGCGACTGGAATCGGTGACTCACTCAGTCAGTAGAGAGGCGAGTACGAGAGAGGCCGCGCTAGCGCACTGCGGCACGCAAATGGGCGGCCTCGACCGAGCGTGCAAGGTAGATAATGATCATGAAAGCGTGCTCAGGCACTCGTTCGTAGAGAGCCTGCGATGTTAACGTTGTTTATCCGTGGTCCGCACTAATGCCGCTCGGATCCACGAGCTTTTTATCCGAAGAACTGTCCGATTCCAATGAGAGCTCGTGGGAAAGATAATCCGCAATGGCATTGGGTACAGTTCAATCTGACGTAGATCGCTCCGATGATGCACGGGTCCGAGCCGAAGTGCGCATGCGACGGCTTAGCGATAGGAAGGTCACTTGCTGAGAAACGCGGATTTTCCCAGTCCGGGATAGGGGAGGGAGAGGGGTCCAAGCTGATGATGATGAACGCATTGACCGGCGGAGATGTCAGTCATTGTTTCCGCGTTGCACCGTTTTTCCGTATTCATGAGTGGTAGGGCATTCCGAGTCCCGGTCCCGGAGACGCAGTCCGACTACCGCTTGCCTTGCAGGACAGAAGTTCGCTCAACTAGAAGAGAAAGTGATCCTCGCAAACCTACTACGACGCTTCGAGATACGATCGATGCTTCCGAGAGATAAACTGCTCCTTGTCGGTGAAATGGTCGTGCGTTCTCACAACGGACTGATGGTAAGAATACGGGAGCGTTGAAAGGGAACTACGCCCACTCTCGAGGGACATCTGATGTGAAATTCAGTCATCCGGAATCATGTACCCCGAAAATCGATGGACACAATGTCGACGCTTCTCTGACCTTGGCGCGGGAGAATTGTCACGACTGTCAAGTTGGCCCGTTCTACTGGACCGATGTAGATACCAGAGAGATGATTTCATTCCGTCTCCAAATCAGCTCATTCGGCGAAAGATCAGAGAGAGTATGTAGGGATCGTGTACATGGCGAGAGATACCGAGGTTGAAAGCTGTCGTAGACTTCGTTCTGCAGCCTGCCGGGTATTACTGACAGCCTTCGAAGACTCCTCGCGGGGAAGATACCTTTTAATATATTTTCTCTTTCGGTCTGCGAAGGCTCCGACGAGCTCTGTTCAGAACATGATCGCTTTCGTCTGAGCTCGGAAATTCAGGGCTGCTTGGAGACCCCAGTGGTCCGAGGTGTCCATCCAACTTTATCACTCCTAGTATCTTATCTAAACCTACAAACACCAATGGATGTCTGTCCGCCCACCTGCCTGGCCATGTGTATGAATCCCTGTACCGTTGACCAGACAATGCGAGGATCCGAATGAGAGCATCATGTATTGTGATGTAGTCCTGAGTCCTGAGAAGGGGAATAGGTAAAGAAATTTACTTAGATGAGTACGCACCGATCATTCGCGTCGAGGAGTCAGTCAGTGCTCATGAGATGAGTACTGACTCTTGTTCGCCTCTGCTAGTCGAGCCTTCAAACTCTTGATAGGATCCGAAACCGTGTAATGGGTGAATAAACCAATCAATCAACCTTCATGATCCCTATCGATGATTGAATTCCGTGAAATACAATGATACGCTCAGGCTACGCACGGGAAGTAGCTCAGTACTCAACACATACGACGGTCCTATAGGAAAAAAGACCCCCGGAAGCGAACAGGCTCGATCTGCATCATCAGTAGCATCAAAGGCTATACAATCCGGGGTCGTATGAAGAAGTGAATCATAAGAATATGATGGTCATCCACGACGGATTTTCGATGGCGGCGCTTCCCTCAGGACGGGATCCAAATAAGTCGGGGGAATGCGAATAAGGGGCCGTGGTCATGAGTCATGAGCACCCGGAGATCTAGACGAGATGCCCGCAACCTCATCAAGGAACTGGCAAGCGTAGGAGGATCAATCACTATCCTATCGGTTGATGTAAGACCCACTGTCCTCCAAAATGCTGTCAGCGCACTGTCACGGAAAGACATGGAGCTCATGCTGATGAGCTCCGCGACTATTACACGGGGCTGGAACAGGGTCGTGGATGGCTTCGGTGGAGCTTCGACCTGTCCGAGTCTTGAGTCACGACACAAGCTTCGAGGTTTTGAAGAGTTCGCCGTATATAGCTCCGCCGAACAACCTCAGGTCAATTCGGCGCAGTTTTCAGAGCTCAAGGATGAAACCAAATTCTATCGTCGTCAGAGATTGCATGAAAAACATTGTATGCGACGCAGGGGAGCATGGATTCAAATGCCCGGGTATATTTTCGATTTCATTGACTCGACGTTGAATTCTCTATTGTAACTCAACGAAAGACTCTCTGATAGTGGTTCTCCGGGCCGGGGAGCCCCCGCCCTCGTCATGCATCGATGTTTCGTGTCGGAATCAAGCCCAGCGACATCTCGACGGTGCAGGTTCCGATTGGGAGATGGCGAGGCGGGACATTTTTCTAGAGTGGATATTGGAAGATTCCAAACACGAATATACTTCTTCGGATGCGAAACTGGGAGGGTGACGGAGGAGCCTTTGGACCACGCGCAAAGCAAGATATGGGTATATGGGTAAGCTTCTGTTCTCGACGGAACGGGAATCGTAATCGGGGTCCTGTGAGGGTGGAGGACCCGACTTTCGGGCGACCATGTTTTCTGCCTCCTTTCCCGACATGATGCACCGCAGGTCCGAGCTATCTCGGTCGACGCCCGTAAAACCTCCTTAGCACCCTCAGGCGGCTCCGTCGTTGAAATTCAGTCCTACGATAGAGACAGACTTATTCTCGATGGGTAAGGTTTCGATAAGGCTTCCTCAAGCGCGTTGGCAAGTCACGCTTGACCATTTCGGAGCACAGTGGATGGCTCGTCGCCATTGGCGACTCATGAATCCGTGACGACTCCAGAGCCCTTCCTCTCTGCATCCTAGTCGCTCAGCGGGCAATTATCAGATTTAAACTGTATCATTAACATAATGATGATATATGTATAATAATAATGATGAATGAAAATACAAAATATTGTAATTATATTATTCATCCATAATCTATGGAGACGATCAGAGCCTCCCTCACCTACGTGGAGAGTTGTCATCGATCAAACGGTAAAGCCTCGATGACCCGATCACGGCTTCTTCCTCATTGACTGCAGTGTCAGGAGTCAGGAGCGGACTTCCTCGCTGTCGCGGAAATGAAGAGGTCCCGAGCTAGGGAGAAAAATGTGTTCGAATGAATATTTTTAGAATTCAATTTCGTTGTTAGCCATCCACGTTGGCCGCGCATGTGGTCTCGGAGAATGAAAACCCCACCTCAACTCGCAGCATCAGAGGCAGACGCGTTTGACAGAGCTCTGGTTCGACTGCCGCGTCTCGCCGAATCATTCGAAGTTCCTGCGGACAAGGATCTCTACCGCATTCTCGGTGTGGCGAAGACAGCCACAGCTTCGGAAGTGAAGAGAGCGTATCGAAAACTTGCCTTCGAGACCCATCCCGATCGATGCAAGGACGTCAATGCGACTTCCCGCTTCCAAAAGATTCAATACGCCTACCAAATACTCTCCAATGAGGCAAAAAGAAAAATTTACGATGAGCATGGATTCCAAGGCTTGCAACTCATGGATCGCTTCGGTGACAAATGGGTCGGAGTGGTCCTCAGAGCCGATTCACTGTGGGCGCGAATACTGTCGACAATATTGTTCTTCGGTACCGGGTTTTGCTGCTGCTGCTTCTTCTGCTGTTTCTTCTGTCTTTGTGGCTGTGGATGCAACATGTGTTGCGACCACTGCTGTGGGCGTTTCGCTCCGCATACCGAAGACGATTTCTTCGACGGAAGCGGTCATTCGCGATTCAGATCCCGAACCACGGACTTCAGGAGTACACGCATTTGACCAAATGAGAAGACCGCAATCCGAGCCGGAGAGCGGCTAATCCACTGCCGTGTGTAAATATAAAACCTGTATACTTTGGTTGTCCAATTTGGCTCTGGTCTTCCGCCGTCTTGGATCTCGCGGGATTGTATTAGAGGAAGCGCGAAGAAAAAGTCGTCGTGATGTGTTTCGTGGGTATATAATCGAGACATCTCATTACTTCTTATGAAAGCAGTAGCTATCGTATTCAACCTCAAAGTCGGTATTGAAAACAAGGGCGCTGTTACGGCCGCTCGGAAAAGTGAGCGAGGACTAAACTCCGATTATGCGGATCCCCCCAGCTGAGCGCGGCTCTTTCGAAGGCGAGCTCGTCTTGCGCACTATAATGGAGTCGCTTGCGCAGAAAACGGAACGCTGTATGCTTCTGAGTTTTTCCCGGAGGTCGCTTCTGCGCTGCCTGGGGCCACGGTTTTCTGCGCATCGTCTGCTGCTTACCAACTACCTAAATGGAACGTATTCGTGGACTTTTGTCTCAGCGGGCTGAGTGTTGTTTTCGGGCCGCTAGTGATCCGAATGTGTCTAGAGAATCGTGATGAAACACTTGGGTATCACGCTCATTCTTCCATTATTGCCTCTCTGGGAAATGTAACCCGGTAGCCGGGAGCTGGACGAGAGAAACTGGGAATCGCGCTCTGATGTATCCAGATGACATCATCAAGAGCGTTCTTGTTTTTCCGGGACCTAACGGCGCCAGCTGACGAGCCTTTTAGCTCATCCCTCTCAATGGCGAGATAAGCTTCCACAAACATTCTAGACGGAGCGAATGACACAATGAAGTCACGAACACATCCAGTAGGAATGAAGATTCCGCTCGATCCAGAGACGTGTTCTTTATTCGCTCGTTGATCCTACTTCTGTTGTCCGGACAATTGGAGTAAGAACAGGAAGATGTTGATCACGTCGAGGTAGACTGTGAGCGCGGCGAAAACGTAATCTTCGGTCGAAATTTTCAGCGATTTTCGTCCCATTATCGCTTGAGTGTCGGCCGCCAGGTAGAGGAGAAATACTACCGCCCCGATTCCGGCGAAAATTTTCTGCGTTAACCCGATATTACCGAAAAATGGCAGAAAGAGGAAGCCCCACAACAAGAGGATCATGGAAATCATGAATAGATAGCCGTACCAGCTGGTGAAGTCGTAACGCGTGTTCATTGCGAAAAGAGTGACTCCCACGCATGATAGCACACAGATTCCCAACGCGAGAAGCACGCTGGTCAGAGTGAAAGTCGCCGCGATTGAGCCAATCAAGTAGGATAATGCGATGGTCAAGGCGAATAGCATCAGAATGTTCCATGGGAAAGAACGTTGGATTCCCGGGCAACATGCGAGAACAATCACTAGAACGATGTAGCAGAGGATGGCTGCCCACATCAGAGCCACGTTCTGAACGGCATAATCATGAACTTGCGGGATCAGAATGAAAGCCGCGCACACGCCAAACGTAATGAGCAGTTGCACCGACAGCAGGAGGTAGACCTTCCGGACGAAGCCATTCCTGATGGCTTTCTCTGAGAACGGGTTCTCGTCTTCAGGAAGCAGCGGAGTCGATTCCATGTCGGTGAGCGATTAGTCCGAGACAACCGACGGGACGATCGACACTGACGCTCTCAGTCAACAGACGTTTTGGATGCATCAAGTGATAGCTAGGATTTAAGGGATCCTCTCGGCGCGAATGACGTGAGACCCGCCGAGAGTCTCGCGGATTCGGTCCTGAATTATGCTGAATTTCTGCCGTATCATCCCTTATCGCAGATGGAGTATCAGCAAGATGGGCTTAAAAACCCTATTGCGCTCATTGACCGCGTAGATGACGAGCTGGTATCGAAGGAGCTGCTGATTTCGTACCATACGACACATTGAAGGAACACCCCTCTCCCGTGGGGACTCGTTTTTCGTATTTCGCATCCGTAAGGAATGCACGGAGAATGCATCGGGTCTGCTTGTTCGATCTGGAAACTATGATGTTCTAATCTTCGATTCAAACTCAGGCAATACTTCCCCATAGAACTTCGCTCGGGAGCAGCTCCTCGGGCATGCGGATCCATTGATTTCGCAGAGATTCTCTTCCGAAGAGTCCATTCCGCTCCGATTCTGCAACTCTCGATCTCAGAGGCTGAGAAAAAGCCTCACGAGGCTCCGTGGAGCACGACCAGGGCCTCGGAGGCTGTAGGTCCTGGACACGAGGTAGTTTCCCTCCTCTTGTCGATGGGAATGTTCCTTCGCTCTCTCCCTTCCATTTCCCATCCAGGCCCCAAGCGAGGACACCCTCTCCGTTCGGGGTTCGCTCTTATAGTCAATGTGCTTCACGTCGTAGCGGCATCGTTCCTCAGACTGCTACGTAGGCAACAAGTGGATCCCAAAATTTCACCAAGTTCAAGTTTCCTCAGCCATCTGCTTGCTTTCGAGCTTCGGTCAGCCGACGATTGAGTCGCGCGGCAGAGTGAGTACCATTCCGATTTCTTCCCCTCTGAGGAGCCGATCGACTACCTGTTGCATGCTGCAAAGCGCCGCGTTGAGGATTTTGAGTCGAACAGCAGGGCGCTCCCTCTTTGCGTTCTCGACTCAACCGCACATTCCTCTTTCCAGCATACCAAAATGCCGGCCCGGTTAGAGAACGTGCCATCCTTCGGATCCGACGATGCTTGTCCCAAGGACAGGTACACTGTAGTGGTGCTCGGGAATTCCTGCGTCGGGAAGACGGCGATCATAAGTCAACTATTGTACGGTAGCTTCGACAATGAATATCGTGCAACGGTTGAAGAATTCCACCAGGAAGAGTTTGAACTCGGCGATGTCACAGTCACGCTGGATGTCATCGACACAACCGGTTCCTACAGCTTCCCTGCGATGCGCAAACTGTGCATAGAAAAAGGTGTGTTTCTCGAAAGTGAGACTTTCCTTGCTGCGAGTCAATCTTCCCACATCCTAATTCAAAATGCACAAAGCAGGAATCAGCGACCATCTGGAATCCAGAGATCGACTAGGATAGTTGAGAGGGGGCCTTCGAGCGTGACTGAAGCCCGCGAGCATCCGAGCTGCCAGAACGGCGGTCTCGCTAGAAAAAAATGAAGTTTTCTCAACGATGTTCCGTACCGAACGAGGGAAATGCGATAACGAGCACGCACACGGGAACACTGTGTGCAGCACGCGAAGCCCTGGAATCGGATTGATGGATGAGGAATCTTCTTTCCAGGTGATGCCTTCCTCTTAGTGTTCTCGTTCGACAGCGAAGAATCGTTCGAGCAAATTCCTGCCCTGCTCGATGAAATTCACGCTCTGAACTCGAAACCGCATCGACGCATCTGTATCGTCGGAAACAAGGCCGACCTCGTCAAAGGAGCGCCGGTCAACCGACAGCTTGCAGAATCTCTCGTGTCACTCGATTGGGAGTTGAGTTATGTGGAAGTTTCGGCGAAAGAAAACCGTAACTTCGATGATTTGCTCGTCAAGATTCTCGGCGAAGTGGCCCGCGAGAGCGTCATGGCCGACGACAGCGACAAGAAGAAGCGGAAGACATCACTTCCGCCGAGTGTGTTGAAGTGCCGGAATGCTCTCATCAAACGGAACTCCTGCATCGTTTCATGAGATCATCGTCTAAAGGAGGCACAATAGTTCTCCGCAAAAAGAGACCAGTGGAAAATCGGGATCAACTTCTTGTGGTAGACGCTGCGGAAGAAGCGAAAGCGAAATAGCGTCTCCAACTCAGCTAACGGGTCCGGGCGGTTTTCGCTACGGAAACGTCAACGAAACGACCAATCGAATGACAAGGGAACGGCACACTGCCTGTGATACGGGATGAATTCCAGATATTCCAACGTCCCCAGATGCAGAGTATTTTGATTTGAGAGCTCTGTGCGTGCTCAGCGCATCGATGACACTGACAGTCCGAGCGGCGAGTGTTCCACGCTCGAGGTCGCCAGCCGTGGGGTAGGCTCTCCATTTTGTCGAAAGATCCATACAAAGTCCGCCCGAGCATTCCGAATGCCTCAGTAGCTTTTTATACCGGTTTTTGAAATTTCTTGTACGGAATGCCGAATGCTGAACAGAATACCACGGACTTGGGGGGAGGGGGGGGGGAAATTGGAAGGAGAACGAGAATCCGAGATAAGTTCGTTGACCAAGAGGAATCTGATCAAAGTATGGAGGAAGACACTTGAAGACGGAGTCCGCGCTTACAAGACTCTCTGGTGGGATCAGGCGTGTGTTCATGTAGGTAATCGTGACTCGGAGTGGCGTGCTACGCGGGAATCGATATAATTTTTTGTACCTAGGAAGAGACTCATCAAAATGACACAGACGCGGAGGACGCCTCCGACTAGTTCACATCGACACTGAGTGAGGAGTATTGAATAAAATCATGAACAACCAGAACCGTGTTATCAAATCCGACGAGAAGAGGCCATCCAACGCCGATACGCTCTTCGTAGTACATAGACACAGTCGACATAAGGGCGTGGATGGATGGAGTTTTCCCCGAACAGAGAGAATGGAACCTGTGGGCTTTTGGGCTCGGCAATTTAAGAAGGGCCAAGTGGACCACTCTCAGAGGACCTCTCTGAATTCCTTTCCGAATGCGCTGAGACGCGAGGACACAACATGTTTGCAGTCAACAACCGTCGTAAACATGTCGGCGCATTCGCACTCGATTTTTTGCATTCATCTCATTCGTGCGGAGACACTCCACAGACGGGAGGAGTTGTTTGTGCACTAAATTCAAAATGAGTTGGCATGTTTTTCAATCAGGCTACTCGAGTCCCCCTCATACTCCAGAGTTGCGGAAGCCAGACAGGAACAGATGAAAGAGCCGCTCGCAGCCCAAAGCGAGACCCCGTGAATGGATCTTGCCTGATCTCGGCCTTCCCCTCCCTCCACAAAGTTCTAGAAAAATCTCCTCAGAGTTCTGGCTCCAGGGATCACCGGCCTCTCGTTAGCTTTGGCCGTTCTTAACAACGTGCACGAGATGTTCAACGTGACCGGTCTATATTAGTAGGTGAGCACCTGACGGGCGTTATGCAGGACTCGAGCGAGAACGTCGAGTACTGTCTCTTGGCTACGGGCTCAAGCTCACGTTCGGATGTAGGGAACTAATCCTGGCAATGGAATAAGCCAGAGAGACTCAGTTTTCGCTGCTTCTTCGAAACGTTCACGATCCCTCGCTCATCGCCAACGACGTGAAGCGCTCCGCAGAAGCACAAAATTGAAATTTTCGACCGATTCCACGGTCGCGCGCAATTATATCCCGCGCGTACGGATCAGCTTTCAAATCCTACTGACATAAGACAGGCAGCGATCGCAACTTTTATCTGTAGGACCGGGAATGAAGCGCTCCAGGCTGCTCCAAGCGATCGATTTCACGTCTGTTTGAGGTTGAGATCCTGGTAAATCGAGTCAGCGAGGTCGACAGGCGGCGATAGGCCGAAAATCACAGGATCGCCCGAGACTCGTGTCTTTGAGTCTTGTGACAGCTCCTCACTAGAGCCGCATCGATCGACACCGATGCTCAATCACGAACGCGACATTGAGTCCTCGCTGCCAGACGGAAGTTCCAGGCTAATTTACAGAACGCCGCCTCACGCGCGGCTCTTTAGCCGCGTCCCTCCGAGGAGCTCTTTGAACCTTGCCCCCGGGGACATGATTCAGTAGAGCGCCGTTGCGTCTGCACTTGACGATCGCAGCGCCTTCAGAGGAGTCGGCAGCGAAAAACAGCAAAGATTCGGGGGACTTCGTAGAGCCTCCATTACATCTTTGTTGGCCTGTCGCATCTTCCATGGACTCTAACGAGCAAACATTGGGAGCCTGGAACCTTGTTGTCTGAGTCAGCAATACTCATCGGCACGGAGAATAGAATTCGATGGTCTCGATCCTCCTTCCGCTTTCTACAGGAATTGAGCAAAACATGACGCGAAATAGCGAGCTGGCCACCTTGGCTGGCGAACACTTCTCTCTAGGGTCCGCGGCTTCCTAGGCGCCTAGGCGGAGACTTATGAGCGCGGGTGCGGCAAAAATGAGGTTTAGCTCGCTTTTTATTGTGTCGCTGGCCTGGCTTAGCTCGAAAAGTAGGCCGAATCAGGGAGAAGACATTCAATGTCCGTATATTCGAGCATCGGCCACATACCACAGGGAATAATCCGATTGCGGAGCTCCGCCGAGAGGTAAGTCGCGGAGCTCCTGTGATCGTTCTCTGGTTCGAGTCCCTCGGGAATGAGACCCATGCTCAATCAATCTCAATGATTCATCCTTCGCCTAAGCCTCGCTCACCGACTCCACAGAATCTCGGGTGACTACCACGAATATGAGCGAGCCACAACTGTTTTAATGGAGCACATAGCAGCTCGAATTTCGGGTCTGGTTTTTCACGTGGCCATCACCATAGGCTCAATCTTGGGAGGAGGATACGGGACGCGCCCGATTTCCAAGAATCAATGATCGAGGAAGGACCAACCTAAGAAGACCCGAAAATGAGGGCTCCGCTAGATCCCTTACCCGATTCGTGCGCACTGGGAGACCTCCGAAGTCTAAGATTAAGGGGCTCATAGGAGTCAATCGACAATGACGACGTGGTCTATTCCAGCTTCAAGGTGAGGGTCACTCTTCAGCTCCTGGTGCGACTCAGTGGATCTTTAATCCCCCGTGCGGGTGTCAGTCCCGGTCCGAAAATCGATACCTCGGGTCTCAGAGCTCCCTCCGGCGTAATCGGTTCTCGGAAACCGTCGGAAAATCGTGAGTCTTGTCGAGCGCTTGGATTCCCGAAGTGCCCTGTCGACCTGTCGATCATGGAGACAAGGTGAGCGGTATGCTCAGGACATCTTCTGAATCGAGACCTCAGAGTCCAGATGCCAATATGTTAGGCTCCGGTCTTTCCAAGAGGAAGAGAGCGGCTTCGACTTATCAAGAGTCAAGTACTGGTTCATCGACTTCTGACGTCAGACATCCCTCGGGAGGGCCCCACAGATGGAGATGGATACACAACAGGATTTTATATTCATCTAAATCATACCTGGCCACCGGAACATCGTCAAGTTTCAAGACTACGATGACGCGCGATCGACATTGACTTCGTTTGAGGAGAAATCCGAGGCCGGTCACGCCCGCAATACGCAGATCATCATCGGTAATCGGTACCCTCCCTCAGCTATCGAACTATATGATGAATAGCGTTCCCGGTCCCCGCTTCGCGGCGACTCGGTAGCGCTAGACTCTCTTCACATGTGCTGGCTCTTGATGCGCTTTCCCGTTTCCCCGCTTTCCCGTTTCCCCGCTTTCCCGTTTCCCCGCTTTCCCGTTTCCCCGCTTTCCCGTTTCCCCGCTTTCCCGTTTCCCCGCTTTCCCGTTTCCCCGCTTTCCCCGGACAGACAGACAGACGAACAGACATACGTTTTTATATAGATAGATAATGATGATTCCAACGTGCTTCGTTCGACTTGCCTAAAAGCTTCCGAAGTCGACCTTGGCAGGGCCTTGGAGCGGTGAGATCAGCTTGGAAGAGATGTTTATCTCATAACTCAACACTAAGCATACTTATTAGGTAAGCTTGAATTCGAAGCGTGGAACTCTTGAAAAATGCCGTCTTTCTACCGCGCGATCCCGCTAGTTTTTCTTGCGTTCTCTTACAGCACTGTACTTGTCTGAACTTGTAAGTTAGTTTCGTAACTCGGCCAACTGGCTCGTTTCTAGATACTTCACCCATGACAAGGGGAAAGAGTCCAACGTTCCCAGGACTCCCTTCTCCTCTCGCCTGTCCTTGGGAGCTGCAAGATCTCGCAAATGGAATTTTCTCGTTACATGCTCCTTCGAGCGAGTTCCGTAGAGCATGGAGGGTACGACGGGATTCATTTTTCTCAGACGATCAGACTAGCCAAGTCGCCCTATGCTGTGTCCGGTATGCCTGAGCTCGTTAAAACTTTTTTCCCGGTCTCTGCTGTATCTCAGAGCGGTTCCGTCCTTTTCCCCTATCGACTACTCTCGCGTCGATTCGTTGGAAATCCCTCAGAGCCCGCGGCAGATGGCTCTATGAGATCACTTCCCCAGAACTCGTGATGCCACCACCATCGAATCTCGTGAAACCCCGTTGCGACAAATCACGCCGGGTTTCCTGAGCAAAGATCCCATTCGCCGAGACAATTCGATTCGCCCCTCATCCTCGACATCCGATATCCTGATCCCTTCCGGCCCGAACCCATCTCGACCGATGCACTGTTCATGGTATTCATGGTTTTAGTGATCAATATTATGCGATCGGAGAGACTCTATTCCGCTTTAGGACAGCTTTTGCGAATCAGGCGCGATTCCTCTCAATCATCAGATTTGTTCGCTCACCGCCGCATAAGGGGCTCTCATCAATTGGATCTGGGGGTCGGCTGCGGAGGCTTTTAGTTCATGCGCAGCTGTTGCGAGTAATCTGATCTGACGAGGAAAGGAACGACCGCCTGAACAAAGTTGTTTCTGCGTCGCGACGGACGTGTTTTCTGTCTGGGTCCGAACTCGACGACTGTCGAGTATAGGGTTCTCGTCCGATAGCCAAGAGCTATCATTCCGAAGGAGATTTCGTCGCAATCAAAAATCGCCGGCCTCGCGCTCTCGTCCTC